CCGCGATCGCAATCTGCAGCTCTACCGCCGCCGCTTCAGTCTTCGGCAGCAATTTGGCGGCTGGTCCTTCCCTCCGAGAGGGAGTGAGGAACCCGCCACCGAATTGCCGCCGTAGAGCCAGACGTGCTGCCCCTCACCGTTGGCTGCCCCAAGCACCTGCATGCTGGGCTGGTGCCTGGAGCCAGCCCTGGTACTGATTGGGGAAAGGGCCAAGTCCAGTGCCTTAGCTTGAGGGCAGTAGCTGACTCATTAACCTCTCTACAGGACTAATCTCCAAAAGGGGTACAAAGAGCCAAACTGTTAGTAGGATCACCAACCCCGAGCATTCAGAAACCATTAGTCAGGCCCCAAAATCATGAAGTTGTTGTAAAAATCATGAGCTATTAAAACTAATAAACGTTGGGTTCTGCTGATTTGCCTTCTGGTTTCCCAGCATTTACTGTTTAGATGTTCCAGCTTTTCTCTGCAACCAGGAGGGCTGAAAATGAGCTTCTCACATAATCACAAGACTCCAGAAGGTGGGGCTTTAAGAAAAGCACTGGCCATTGCAAGATTCTGGGTAAAATCATGATAGCTAGCAACACAGTACATAAGCATCAGAGTAACACGGAATAGAGGAACAGAAAGGTGACCTCTCTCCAGGCAGGCTGCAGCCAGTACAGTTCTGGAATTCTTGTCTTCATTCATTTAAAGTGTGGGAGATGTTATTTACTAATTAAAACAAAAATACATATTGAAACCTTAATTTATTTGAATTTTTCAAATGGCAGAAAAAAACATAGAGAACTGGGGTTGACTTAGAGAAGAATCTCAGGCTTTCACGGTTTCCTTTGTTGCTGGATTGTTCTATTGCACTGGGCATTCTGTATGCTGTGCTGCTTCCTGAAGCTGCCTGGGAGCCTCCTTTTGGTATGGAGAGGGATCAATGCTTCTGCTGTCTGCCCAGTGATCTACACATTCTTTCTTGTCTCACCAGGTCCCCAAAGCTTACTTTTGAAACAGCAAGAAACTGAAGCCAATGTACAGTGGCAGGCAGCAGAGCAATTGTCCCACTGTGCACCTCTCTTGTCCTTCAAGAGATTCAGCGGCCTAAATTCTCAGAAAAAGACGTGGCATTTGTACATATGGTTCAGGGAATTACCATAATCACAGATACCTTTTCCAGAAAAGTCAATCCATTGTGTCTAGCCACCTGGGTCAGCATCTATAGTGAGCAGTGGCTTTTGCCATTATAAGACATTTTAGGACCCATTCTTGAACAGCTCTACTGCCTCAATGGAAGAGACTAGAAATTTGGAATTTGAGAGGGATATAGGCCTCAGTCCTGCAAAGACTTAGCCATGTGCTTCGTTTTCAGTGGTCTGGTGAAAATCTGTTTTGAGTTTGGCTGAATTATAAAGGTTTAAATATATACTTCACTCCTCTAAGTGATTTTTTTAATCTACTATAAAAAATGTTTATTCTGTGAGAACAGGTTTTTGCTAATGATCTTCCAACACTTTCTTGGCACTGCGCATGCATGTGTATGTAAGCTGAGTTGAATTCTTCATTCAACAGGCAATATCTCAATGTTCCTTTAGTTCTGGACATGTGTATATAAGAAAGCTGGTTGGAATTTCTCTGAATCTGATGAGGGTGCATATGAAATAAGCCCTCGTTCCGTACCATATTGCAAGGGGCAGATGGTACCTTAACTTTTACATTTCATGACTTCATTTTTGCAAACGTTGATGTTCTTTTAGCATACTTTTTTCTTCCTTTCTTGTCTCCATTTAAAGATGTTTTTGGATTCCCAGATCTCTGGCCTCTTTTTGTATTATAACTTACTTGGTATTTTGTTGTTGTGCTATTTCTTCTGCTTGCTTCCCCACTATTTCTTAGCATCTTTTCCTTGCTGCCCTACTTAGTGAACAATGGTACAGTACATGCTCTATGGACTCTCACATTCCTCCACTCACATTCTCGCCCACAACCAGGACCTAATCCAAAGCTCATTGAACTTGATGGTAGTCTTTCCATTTACCGCAGTGGGCTTTAGATCAGGCTCTCAAAGAAAGACAAAAGTACGCCTTATTTCATCTAAAAATTCTATTTTGAGGCAAACTGCTAAGTAAAATTTTTAAAAAATGGTTAGATAACTAGAGCCACATTTTCAAAAGATGACTTTAAAATTGTGCCCACATGTTTTGACATCTCAGTTTAGTTCCTAATAGTCACCAGCATTGTGTAACTATTCAGACTATTTAGACAAGGGTGATTAGATTTCATGCTTCAGGGCTCAAAACAAGGGTCAAGAAGGAACGTCTTCTCCCTCCCCCATTGGTACATTTCATATGGGGGTAGCAGAGGGAACATTGCAATCCTCTGATGCTACAGGCCAGTGCCAGTGGCAGGATATTGGGCTAAATAGACCAATAAGTCCAACTCAGCATGACAAACCCTACAGTCCTTTCACAACTGGGATCTTTGTTGGCAATCTCAGCAGAGATGTTAAAGAATACAGTATGCCAACAGAACAATGCTTCCTCAGCTCTCGTCCCCTAACGCCCCTACCCTACTCTACTTGTGCTACATTGATGACATCTTCATCATCTGGACCCATGGAAAAGAAGCCCTTGAGAAATTCCACCATGATTTCAACAATTTCCATCCCACCATCAACCTCAGCCTGGACCAGTCCACACAAGAGATCCACTTCCTGGACACTATAGTGCTAATAAGCGATGGTCACATAAACACCACCTTATACCGGAAAACTACTGACCGCTATACTTACCTACATGCCTCCAGCTTTCATCCAGACCACATCATACAATCCATAGTCTACAGCCAAGCTCTAAGATACAACCGCATTTGCTCCAATCCCTCAGACAGAGACAAACCCCCTCAAGATCTCTATCAAGTGTTCTTAAAACTATAATA